AAACACAGCTGACACTGATCAAGCTTAATAATACAACCCTGCTTTCTTTTCTTTTTTTAAGTTAGGTGGTACATTATATACTAGGTATTGCAGCAATCTCTGTTATTGCCCCTACCTCTGTTATTCTGTCTCATCACCATCCTCTCTTCCCGAGCTCTAGGAAGGAAGGGAAGAACAAGGTCGCTTCTAAAAGGATGACACCTGTACTGAGATCCTAAATGTAAAAAAGAAAAACCTATACATGTGAACTCAAAGAATAAACTATTAAAAATTAAGTTACATAGAATCTCTTTCTGCACAAACTGAATCAAGACATAAGGAGGCAGACAACTAAACACCAGATTGAGAGTCAAAGTTCCTTAATGAATTTAGGAATCTACCTTACTGCTTAGTCCAGCTGTGGGCAAACTACGGCCCGCGGGCCGGATTCGGCCCATTTGAAATGAATAAAACTATTGAAAAAAAAGACCGTACCCTTTTATGTAATGATGTTTACTTTGAATTTATATTAGTTCACACAAACACTCCATCCATGCTTTTGTTCCGGCCCTCCGGTCCAGTTTAAGAACCCATTGTGGCCCTCGAGTCAAAAAGTTTGCCCACCCCTGGCTTAGTCCCATTATCCATCTATACCAGACAGAATGTGGACCTAAAATAGATCACTGATTCTCAATGGGGGCAGTTTTGCATGGGGACATATGGCAATATCTTAAGACAGTTTTGGTTGTCACAACTTGGGTGAGGGGTACCACTGGCATCTAGCAGGCAGAGGCTAGGAATGTTGCTAATACCCTATACAATATATCAGACAGAATTATCTAGTCCAAAATGTCACTAGTGCCACAGTTGAGAAACACTGTATTAAACATATAGTGGTACTTAATTATCATCCTTCACTACTGAGTACAATCTTCACAAGTCCCCAGTGTATGTCTCTTATCCCAATACATATATCTATTATAACATTTATCTCATCTAATTATATTTAGACAGCTATCTTCTCTAATAGACTGTAAACTCCTAGAAGCAAAGTCGGTTAATCTACAATCTGGCAGGGCCTAGCACTGTGTGAATAATCAATAATTGAACGAATAAATGAATGAAAATTCCTCAATTTAAACTCCAAAATCCAGTAAAATCTGGCTCCAAATCTACCTTCCTTTCTGAAGAATGATCAGTGTTTTAGAAACACTGCTGAATTTGACAGTTTTTGAACAGGGGCAAAATCTTATGAAACTGGAGAGAACCAAAGATGGCGGCATAGGTTAACGCCGGAGATTGCTGCCTTGAACAACCAATTCAAATTAAGCCTGAAACAGGGAACGGACAACATCCAGAACCACAGGAGGGCTGGCTGAGTGGAAATCCTACAACTAGGAGTAAAGAGAATATCATATCCAGACTCAGAGGAGGCGCAGTGCTGAAGTGAAATTCTCAGGTACCAGTGCGCGCGAACGGGCTGGCGGCACGGCGCGGAGGGCGCGATTGTAAACAATCGGGAGGGAGTCGCAGAATCTGAGCTCCAGATCAGGGGGAGTGGC